TACTCTACTCTACTCTACTCTACTCTACTCTACTCTACTCTACTCTATTTCTATTCTACTCTATTCCACTCTACTTCCATCCCATCCCATCCCATCCCACTCTATTCCTATCCTATCCTATCCTATCTTCTATTCTATTCTATTCTATTCTATTCTATTCTATTCTATTCTATTCTATTCTATTCTATTCTATTCTATTCTATTCTATTCTATTCTATTCTTAGTTTTGCTTGACCAATCTGTTATTCCAGTGGTGTATCTAATGACTGGAAGTGCCCAGATGTTAATTGCCTTGATGGTATTTCCTCTACAGAATTTAGACTTTGAGATCTTCATTTTCACAAATTATTCACTACCAACCTTCTTGGGTTCAGGGTGTTTCATGTTCTCAGCTTGCAGGGTGTCCAGATACCTCTCGTGGCCTTCTTCATCCAGCCTCTTGATGCAATTTCTATAGGGCGTCTTGATTCCTTCAGTTTTCACCATTTTCCTGCTGTTGAAGGTAAAGGTGGCATTACAAACTCCACTGCAACATTTTGGCTGCATATCTATGGAGACTCTTGAGCAGCGATTCTATTTCAGATGGTGTTTCTCCATACAGCTTTAGATCATCCAGATAAAGGAGGTGTTTTTTTTTTTTTTTTTAATGTTGGCTTGATAGGTCTTCAGTATCGTTGACAGAAGAATCAATGAAATGACAAACCATTGTGGTGATAGTGAAGCTCCTTGAAAGATTTCTCTCTTGATATTAACCTCACCAAGTCTATCAGCATCGACCAGTAGCTGTGTCTTCCGTTGCGCCATTGATCTTTGCACAAGGCTTCTGATATTTTTACTGACCCGGTTATTTCTAGGCTGATTATCTGATTAAATGGCAGGGAATTGAATTTCCTCTTGTAAACAAACATTCAAGTTTAACCAATTCATTATTATTATTATGTGTGTGTAATCTAGAGTTAGATTCCCAATTTAAGACTGGTGAGAACTTAACAATTCAAGTCCTGATCAAAGATCTAAGAATTATTAAGGTAGCATCTAAGAATATGAACAATTCTAAGCAGGGTGGGTTTTAAAAAAAAACATTAAGGTTTTATTTATTTATTATTTCATTTATTATTATTGTTGTCGCAAGAAACACACAACAAAGAGGCATTAATATAGGCAAGAATGGTGAATACCTAGGAAGGGATCCTCCCTAGTTTCTTGCACTGTAAAGGGAGATACTGTTAAAATAACCTTAAAATAAAGTTAAGTAAATGCTCCTAGATTTGCTTCTAATCTGACTACCATGCAAGACTGACACACAAACAAAGGGGCATTAATATAATCAAAGAGGTGGAGATTGGCAGCTGCCCATTTAGGAAACAGTTTACAATTACAGTCTTCACTTTTCAGAAATGCAGCAGTGAATATCGGCAGTCACTTGTTGATAACTGTCAACATTTACTCCTAAAAACTTCTGCTTCTCGACATTTGCAAAATTAATCTGGGATTGTCACCAAATTTCAGACATTCGTTGCAACATATGTCAAGCTGATATTGGCTGCATAGCCATCTGTTGACACAATAGGGAAATATAATATAATGTTGCATGCCATGGACACAATCCAAGCAACAGGAAACCCTTTAGATACCCCCACAGAGAAAACAGTGCATATGGTTATCCTTATTTTTTAATAATGATATTTTGGAAACATTGCAGTTAAAAAGATAAAAAAAATAATGCAAACTAAAAAAAGGTGTGAAAAAGAAAAATAGAAAGAAAAATATTAAATAAAATAAAAATAAGAATATTGGAAACAAAAAGAAAAGAAATGTATAAAATTTATACATACAGAGACACACACCCAGAGAGTGAGAGCAATTATTATATTTGTCTATACGCCGTTGTATATAAACAAGTATAAACAATCTTAAAAACTTACCACATTTTGATAAAAGTAGAACAAATGATCTTCCCATATCTCATCTATAAATAAATCCTTAAAGCCTTATTGTCATTGTGCCCTAATCAGCAAAGATCTATCAAGAGTTACAGAGATAACAGTATATCTATTTTAACCTTGATCAAATAAATCAACTTTATATTCCTTTCTTTCTTTTTTTCTGAATAATGAACAATCTTGATCTTTAATCCTTTAAAATTATGTCCTAAAATTTGATTTCTTTTTATATTTTCTTTGTCTCTTCTCCCAAAAATATTCTTTAAAACTTAAATATTCTTTAAAAACCAAGAATTATGTGGATTATTTCCCTATACTGGATTTACAGAAAACTAACAAATGTTTTCTGTAAATCCAGTATAGGGAAATAATCCACATAATTCTTGGTTTTTGATATGAGCCTTCATTTGTATATCCAGTGTAGCTTCTTTATCCATATCATATATTAACAATAACTCTATTTCTAACCCTGTCATTTTTAAATCCACTTTCAGATCAGTCTCAATATTGTTCAGTAAATTTGTTTCTCTTCAATAATACCTTTAAACAGTCTATTTATAGAAGTACACACTCTTAAAAGTAACCTGGATCCATTCACAAATATTCTTCAATATAATCCAGTGTTGAAGTATTTTGCTCCATTCTGTATTAGTATGTCAAATTTAAGTGGTCTGCTCCTTTGATTGTAATCTTTAGTTCTTTCTGGTTCCTTCTGGTTCTTTCTAGTGTCCCCTCCTATCATGGTTTTTTTTTAAATCAAAACAAAAGAATTTGCCCACAGGAAATTTCAAAATATTCAAATTTTTCTAGTCTCTTAGATCATACAGAACCTTGTAAAATTAATATTTTAATTACCCTTTTGCTGTTTATTCCAGAAAAACAGTGAAATCCTTAAACGTTATTTAAAAGTTATTTAAAAGTTAAGGATTGAAGGAAATTCACCTGATGCTATAAAACCTGTTGATCCAAAGGTTTCTAATAGCTAAAAAGCAGCAAACAAACAATTTCCTAAATGATTAGTAAACGAAATATGTGGACTCAATGTCCTTAAATGTACTGACTGAATTGAGCTACTTTTTTTTAATCTCCCAGAGCTATAAGCACATGGGAAATCACTATCTTGTGATCTTTTCACCAGAAGCAAATGCATGGAGTATTTATGGGTGATCTCAAGTCATCTCCTTGTCCAGAGGATTTTAGCAGAGCATGTTCAGTTTGCCATTTCTCCCCAGGAGGGTGGCTCAGTTTTCCATTAGTGATTGTTTTCTTATTCGCTACTTTGCTGGTGTTCTGACATGGCTCTTTTAAAGAATTGAGCCATTACCTTTTCCACATGCTGCAGTGAAAATGTCTATGTAGCATAATCAGAACAGCACACAATAACAGAAGGAGTGCACAGGGTAAGAAGTCTCTTACAATGCAATTTTTTTCTAGGCAAGGACATCGTGAGTCAAAAGGAAGAAAGGGCAGCCACTGAGAATTGGAAAACAACAGCAGAAGTGATCTTGAAGGGAATAGGAAGTTTACTTATTCGTACACATTCATACACTTATTCATACACTTTCCCCTTGTTCCCTGAAAATGAATTAGCTGACATTAATTAAACTCTCTCTCTCTTGTCAACTCGTAAAGCATTCCTATGCCTGTTATAGAGTTGCCATAAACAAGGTGGAGGGAAATCTGAAGGGGCAGTGCGGCAGTTTGAAACCAGAAGTACATTCCAACACTTATCTTACAAAGATTGTAGTTAAGCTACCGGGTCTTCTCCCCTCGAAAATCCTTAATTGGAGAATGTGATTGATGACATCCAGCCTGTGAATTGCTTAATTTGAGAATCTGATTTATGACACACCAAAGGGGGAAACAAGGTCACAGGTGACTGTAAATTACATATGTCAGAGTTGGGTTCATACAGGGTTAATACTGGACATGTTGCTCCTAATAAATCTTTATGTTTCTTTTGAAGCTTGGCTTCAAAAGAAACAAAAAGGCTCATGATTCGATTATGGCAATCCTGACGTCTCTCTTTTTCATGCACACATATGCTATGATACTGTTATGCCCAAAAAATTTCAATTGATCTACAAGACATCATTGATGACTTACCCTAAAAGCATGGTCTTCCTTTTGTCAACTCAGAGATTAAGAACCAGTGGTGGAAACTCTGTCTGTAAAGATGGAGGCCTGGGAAAAGAAGACTAGATCTAGAAGCTTCCTTGGCCATTTTCAATGTCTTCTAGTTAGGGAAGGTGACGATCTGCAAAAACCGTTCTTCTATGTTTGGAAAATCAGACCTAGAAAGTATCTGTGGGAGCTTCCATAAGAGAGGATGATGTCAGGGTAGTAGAAGTAGCCTGTTAGGGTAAATGCAGCTATCAAGTGTGCTGTTTTCATAAGATGGTGCACTTCACCTGTTATATTCTGTCCACAGGTCTGAAGCAGACATACACTTGCAACACCTGTAACGTCACTCTAAACTCAATAGAACAGTATCACGCACACTTGAAGGGCTCGAAACATCAGAACAAGTAAGTCTGATTCTTTGTTAACTGTGGTTGAGTGAACAGGACAGAGGGACAGGATTATGTTCCCTTCCCATTATAATTAACCTGAATTTCTGAAGATTGGATGCAAGCAAAATTTTAAAAAGAACATTTAAATAAAGTAAGTAGCAATGAAAAAGGAGTTTAGCTCATATTCCCCAAAATGGCATGATCTTTGCTGATGTGGATTGTGTGTACAAAGAAGGAGGTAGCGTGAGGGACTATAATCAGGTGGCAGTTTTCCAGAGCTGGAAAAAAGAGAAAGAAATTTGGCATAGCCACTCCTGAGAATCTCCCAGGGTATATCTGTTAAGGGTGTACTAGTATAGCTTTAGTGTGGCAAGATTCTGTCTGTATGGTGTGAGCAAATAAAGAACTGAACAATCGGTTCCTGGACTAAGCCTGACAGCTGGCACATGTGTAAAAAGCCATGAATGTGGGATTGCCATTTATTCAGAAAGCAGAACGAACGGGGAAAGAAGGCCAGTGGGAGGCTGCCAGGAAGATGGAAATCAGACGGGAGGTTTGTGATGCAGTATCTATGCATTTATAAATTGTTTTATGTGTGAAAGAGACACACAGAGAGAAAGATTAAAGTGAAGCACTTCAGCGCGTGATGAATAGCACTTATTTTCTGGGAACAAAAGAAGAGTTTAACTTTGCTTTGCCAATTTAAATCTGCCTCTCACCTTTTGCAACAACTCTTACAGTCTTGTCTATTCTGGTATTCAGATCCAGCCGTAGCTTGCATGCCTACGTGTGAATTTATGGAAAAGCGATACTTTCACGTTTTGTTTTGTTTTTAAATGCGGGCTGTATTCCCTTTTTACATCCTAAGAAATACTTCTAAATACTACTAAACAATGATGCCACGGTTTTAAAAAAAAGCCTCTCTCCAGCATTTGCCCTTGTTTATGGTGGGGGAAGGGTACTGATTGTAGTGAATTCAGCTTTTTATGAACTGC